ACACACACACACACACCCCAACACACACACACACCCCAACACACACACACACACACAAATTCAAGTACAAGTTTCAGAATGTCCATGACGACTCCTTCTGGCCCCTAAGAATCCCTAGAAACCCAGGTGGAAATACAATGAAACATGCTCCATGGATGCTGCATTTGGCAGCTACAGACCCTTCCTTCTGACCCCGCTGGTTCACATTACAGCTAGTATTCTCTGCAAACACTTAATTTGAGGTCACCATAGAGCTACTATGCAAATTGCTTTAACACAAGAATGAGGAGCCTGGAATTGCTGGGCTACCAAGTTTCAAACTATGAAAAAGTCTCCAGGGAAGTTTTATAATGCCAAGAAATGCAGACACACCACATTAGTAGCAATTTATGGACCCTTATTTTGAGTGAGTGCACACACAGACACACACACACAGACTCAACAATAAAAGGGTTACTCTTGAATTACTATTTTTTTCATCATTAGGGATAGTTTGCTATCTGAGTGAGATGATTTTCAACAACAGAACTAAATGTGCAAACTATTCCTTATCTTGGTGTGCCACAAAACAGCCTTTATCATTTTTTTCCTGTATAGTGTACAACGCTGCCAAACAGAACATATTGAAATAGAGAGCAAGCAGACGGTATTTACTCTAAGTGAACCAGAATCAAGTTTTAAATAAAATAGGCTTAACAGAAACGATAACAAAATCTGATCTAGCAGACTCTAAAAAATGGCTTGGCACAGAAGACACCCTGCCCCGGGGAATTACATTAGCTTCTACAGCACGATCGTGTTACATAAAATTAAAGGTTACGGCCGCTGGAGTTTATAGCTTCAAATTCAAGTGTGGTGAATGCTTAATCATGTCCTCAATGATAGGAATCGCAGCCCCAGTAATCTACTCAGGAAAACTTAAGGCAGAAAAAGATTCGCAACTCTTATCTCTGTGCCTATCTTGGGGATTTGAGAAGTAACACGGAATCATGTGCTCAGTCCCTTTCAGATTCATCGGAGACCCCCAGACCATGACTTCCATGGTCTTTTCACAGTCAACCTTCCAGAAAAGTCAGATCGGCTTGGCACAGAGACGCAGAAGGCTTTTATTGTATTTATTATTTTTTTGCACAGAGTTGTAAGACCATACAAAGCCTTATCAGTGTGTGAGCCAGGCAAGAGGGCAAGACAGGGAGCTGGCTTCAACTAGAACACAGCTGAAGCCAAGCTCAGCCATTCTCTCTGGAGGGGACTGGACAGCACTCAACCCTGTGCAGGAGGCAGAAGAGGAATGCGCTGACTTCAAAATAATTCAGCCAGAGTGTGTCGGTAGCATGTGACCAATATCTTCAGTGATGAAGACTCATGACTAGGGTTCTGGAGGCTTCCACCCTGAGCTACCTGTGGAGTTCTGCAGCCCCACAGCAAGGAACGCCTGGAGCCACCAGAAGCTAGAAGAGGCCTGGAACCGATCCCCCCTCAGGGCCTCCAGAGGGAACCCACCCTGCTGACACCTTGATTTTGGACTTCCGGCCTCCAAAACAGTGAGAGAATATATTTCTGCTGCTTTAAGCCACCACCAAGTTTGTGGTAACTTGCCACAGCAGCCATAGGAAACTAATACATTAACTGGCATTAAGGACAAGCCATTGGACACTCTGAGCCTCTTTTTCTCCACCTGTAAAATGGGGATCACCATAGCACTCCCCTCATGTCAGACAGTGACTGTAGTGATGAACTGCGAAACACGCCTTACAAAATCAGGTGGAGTTTAGTGTTCGTGAGGTTTTTTTCAAAAGGAAAGTATTTACCATTGTTTTTACCGATTAGTAAAATAAAATGTAAAATAATGCAAAAGTACTTAAAAAAAAGAAAATGAAAATAATCTGAATTTCACAACTCGGGAAAGAGCCGCTTTTCCATGTCCTTTCTTTCAGATGTGATATATATGCTCACTTTGTGGATTTAAATCTCAGGCCCACCACTTCTCAATCATGTGGCCTCGGCAGAGCCTCTCTCTGCTTTTGTCTCCTTGAGTACGGGGATGATGGTAACACCACCTGCCGGGTTTGCTATGAGGATTAAAAGGGGTAACTCGTGACAAGCACTTGAAATAACAGGGCCTGGCACGTCATCTATAAATGGGGAGAGGAACAGGGAAGGGGTTGCCTGGAGGGCCGAGCATGCTGCAAAGTGTTGGCACAGAGCCTGGCACACAGAGAGCCCTCAATATGTGCACACTGTCGTTACTATTCTGACGCTGTGTTCCAGCGACTTGGAACTGCTCCCAGCTTCTGCAGAATGCCCTTCTCTCCTGGCCTCAGGGGTTTTGCACAGGCTGCACCTCTCTTCTTCCCACCTGGCTGATCCCTCGTTGCCCTTCCAGACTCAGCTCACGCACTGTCTCTTTCAGGACACATTTTTTGACCCCACATGTGTTTCCGGTGCCCCCCACCCCCCTGCCCTCACAGCCTGCTTATCCCTCCACACCCCAATCAAACTATGCCCCATTCGGTGAGTGCTCTCCGTGTGCCACACCTAACTTCCAACCTGCAACTCCATGAAAGCAGACCCTGTCTCACTCCTTGCTGGGTCTGTCCCAGCACCTAGCCCAGGGCCCGCCCACAATGAGTGTTCAGAAGATGCTTGTTCAACAAAGGAGGAAGAGGAAGGAACAAATGCTCATGACTCTTCTCTGGGGGACCCTCTGCCTTCTCTGACTCTCGGGGCTGGGACAAGTGCCTCCTGTGTCCCCACAGCCTCCTGGGATCTGTTCCACCACAGCACAAATCATGATCGTAGTCTTTGCATGCAGGACTGGTAGTTTAATATATGCATAAGTCAGCTCTGCTGCGATGATGCTGTGAAGCGAGCACCCTCCCCCCATCTCCACGGCTTACAAGAACAGATATTTTTCTTACTCATGAGCCTACAGCTCTGCTTCAGGATGTTCTGATCTACTCTTTGGGTCTCTCATTCTGGGAACAGAGCTCACCAGGGCCAGCTGTTCTCATGGGGGATGGCAAAAGCATGAGAAAGCTGAAACATCCACCACTGGCTGTAGCAGTCCTATGGCAAGTTCCATATCAGTGGTGTAGGGGGGCAGGAAACACCCCCTCATCCCAGGGAGCCAGGGCAAGGCAGGGAGAGAAGCGGGAATTGTGAGCAAATAGTACAATTTCCACAAGAGCTCATGACAGGATAATAACGAACACCCCCTATGATCCAGGCACCCACACAGGAGGGGGACGTGCTATCTTTACCCCCATTTTACAGATGAACAAACTGAGGCCAGAAGCGGTTAAGTAATTTACCCAGTCAGCCGGCTAGCGAGTGGCAAAGGGGGACGAAACCTGAGGAAACTGTGGCCGTCCCCATTCCTTCCCCAGCCTCTTGAGGTAGGGGCTGTATCTCCTTTATCCTGCCTTCAGTGTGTTGCCTGGTGAAGACTGGCCACTCCGTCAATGCTTGTCGGCAGAATGAAAGGCAAGTAACATTATTTGTTACATGCTAGGCAGGTTACCTTCTTTTATAAATATCGTCTGATATAATCCACACAGCAACCCTGGGGAGTTAGCCTCCATCTTCCCATTTCACAGATGAACACTCCAAGGCGGACACACAGCCAGTAAATGGCAGAACCAGGTCTGTAAATGAGGCTTGTCTGACCCCGAGGCCTAGCGTTCGGGGCCAATCCTGAAACTTCAGCTGGTCGCACCGGATGGGGCTGGCTCCAGCTTTTCAGCTCTTTCCCGTTGCCTCAAAGCACAGACAGTGGCTTAACGCGCCCAGCAGATGGCAGGATGTGGCCGAAGATTCCCCGCAGCCAGGCGGGCTGGGCGGGCGGGACTGCCCCGCGCGGTAACCTGCGGGTCCCTCAGGGAGCGCCCTCTGCGGGTCCGCGCTCGCCCCACTCCCGCCCCACGAGCCTTGGGGCGCAGCCATGGCACCCCCATCTTTAGCACCCCTGTCCCTGGCGCGTCTCCGCCCGGGGTCTGGCTCCCCAGCTCCCACGGACGCAGATGCTCTGAGACCACACAATACAGTTCGGAGGAATCTCGAGGCCCACGCCCAGCCACTCCTAGGGAGAACGGTTTTGGACAAACCACGTCCCTTTTGGGCCTCAGTTTCCCCATGTACAATGAAAGGGTCAGATTGGGCCCTAAAGGGTCTAGACTCTACTTTCATTCAGTAAACATTTAGAACCACATTAAGAAGAAAAGCGTCTGTTGGAAAACAGGTAGACACACCACGGCCCAGGGTTCAGCCCGAATGGGCAGATACGGCCCAGCCAGGACCGACCAACTACTGACCCAAGTGCTCCTTTCCCTCTGAACCTGTCAGCCTGCCTCTGAGATGGGGAACGGTGATTGTTCTAGCGGCCGGTGTGTTGAGAGGTGACGTGGCATGGTGTGCACAAGGCGCGAAGCCGGCCCGGCACGTAGTAGGTGCTCACGATTCGCTTACTGCCTGGAGGGAGCGCCCCGACGCCGGCAGCACCGGGCTGACCCTGCACTCGGCTCGGCTGGGTGGGTGGGGAGGCGGCGGTCCCCCCGTTCCCGGCCACCCTCCACCTGGGGCTGCACTCCCCCACCGTGCCCGCCGCGCCCCCTCCTCCAGGCTGCCCCCCGGGCTGCGCTCGCCCGCCGCGCCCC